CTCAAAGCACGGGACTAGTCCCTTGGTTGAGGTTGCATTTCTTGGTGGTACCAGAAGAGCTGGTGAACTCCTGGGCACCTCCGGTTTCCCTATCGGCCCTTCCTTTCTTCATGGGGTGATATATAAGTTAGTGCTTGTAGAGCGCTAGGCAAGTGCTCTTGGGGTTACTCTCAAGGTAGGAAGCATGCAGCAATCCCTACAGTTAAGTCAAAGGCTCAAGGGCAGCTCATCCTCCAGCAGTGATTAAACTTGGTCAGATTTGCCAACCGTTGGGCTCTGAAAAGGACAGGAGGTTTAACAGCAAAGGAAGAAGCGACCCACCACCTTTCCCATTACAATCGTCCCGGACAGCCCGTAATGGCACCAATTCAAGCAAAACCACGGGGGAAAGAAAAATGTATGAGAAACAAGTCTTGATGAGAAGCAGCCCTGGGGTTGTAGCACTAAGGAGCATCCCCTGAGGACTCAGGAGGAGACTGTTTACTGGCATTGTGCAAAATAGACACTTGGGACCCCTTCGTCCAAGGTGACCAGGGACCCATGGGGAAACGAGACGCCTGCCGTCTCCTCCCAGCTGGGAAAAGAGTAGGCAGGCTACATGCCTCCGAAAACAACACTGAAAAAAAGTCTGTTTGCGACTGTTGGAGAAAATGGCTTAAATGAACACTCGCACTTGCATTTTACTTGGCATATGCTCCTACCACCGGAGCTGCGGTGCTCTGGATGCATCCTTTATCCAGCATCTTTGAACCTAGCTATGCAAGCAAGGATTGACACCTGGGCAGGGGCACTTTTCCTTGGGGACAGAAGGGGTTAAAGTGAAACGCTTTATTATAAAGAGCACAAGGTTGCCTTGAATTTTCTCCCTGCGTTAGAAAGCAGCCCGTCTCTCTTTACAGCTCAATAAAAGCCCTCAAGCCTCTTCTCGCTGCTGAAAGCCAGACACTCATGGGCAGAGATCTCCAGGCTCCCTCTCTCGCTTGCATTTTGCTGCAAGCACCAGCTGTACCCGATAGCAAGGTCCTCCTGAATGACTGATCCCAGTTTGACTGATTTGTGATGGAAGATAGTCCCGTAGGACAGTTCAGCCCCCACGATTCAACTGGTGCTTTGGCTGTGTCAACCTAAAAATTAAACTCTCTGTAGCCTCAAGATAGTACGAGTGGGTTAGTAAAATCTCGGACCGTATAAAAATCCAGACAGAAAAGGCAGGAGTCCTATGTACCCTTTCCTTTCCCAAAGCCATTTGAGTACACCAGCACCATCCACAAGAAAACGTCATTTTTTTGTCACCAGTTTAGAAAAAGGAAGAGAAGCAGGTAACACCTCTCTGGCATCTTCAGCATTACGTCTAGAAGAGTCATAGGCATGTCCAGCCGGAAGGGACAGCAGACGGTCATCCAGTCCAGCCCCTGCTCAAGGCAGGATCGTCCCAAACAAGTGCGTGTCTAACCTACTCTTGGAGGCCTCCAAGGATGAAGATCCCACAAGATCTCTACATAGCGTGCTGCAATACTTAAATCACCCTTATAATGAAAAAGGTTCTTCCTAATATACAACCCATTTCCCTCATTGCATTTGGAGACTCTTGCTCCTTTTCGTGTCCTCTGCAGCCCCAGAGAACAGCTCCTTCATAACCCCGTGACTTATCAAATCCCCCCTTAGGTTTTCCAGTCCGTCCATGCAACTCCTGTTTCCCACACCTCTATTCATTTTTGTTGGAACGATCCCGAGAGAGAAAGCAATCTGTCCACCTCGGTCTTGAGATACGATGCCTAAAACTGGAAACCGTTCCAGGTGAGGCTTCACCAGCACCAAGGAAAATGGAAGGATTGCTTCCTTTGACTTGTGAACAATGCTGCTATGAATACAGCCCAGTATACTACAGGCCTTTTTGCTACAAGAGCATACCGTTGGCTCATGTTTAGCCCGTGGCACACTTGAACCCAGGTCCTTCATGCAGCACTGCAGCCTAGCCAGTCGTTCCCCAAGCTGTACTTGTGCGTGCAATTGTTCTGTCCCAAGATCTATCCTCAGGACATTGCACTTGCCCTTGCTGAAAGATACTGGATTGATTTCGGACCATTTCTCCAGTCTGTCAAGACTTCTCCGATTCCTTCCTTCCAGAAAAGGTCGCAGCTCCACCTGGTTTGGTCTCATCAGGAAATTTGCAACGTGAGCGCTCAGTCCCGTTGTCCAAATCATTAACAAATGATATGAAATCATTCCAGACCCAGAGCAGACTGCTGGGGAACCCCGCTTGATACCGCCCCCCGATTAGAGGCTGATGACTTGGTTGAGCACCATGACGCATCCACCAGTTATGTATTCGTCTTACAATCGTTTCGTCTAAACTTAAGCAATTCTGAATCCTGCTTAGGTCAAACAATCCCAGTACGGATCTATTCCAGCCATGGGTTCCTGGGGTTGGGGGGGGAAGGGACGGCTCTATTTCCTATCCAGTTTCTGAAAACATCCAAGAGAAGATCAGAGCAAGTTAGGCACCATACAGCCTGTGTGGACAGATGAACTACAGCAGAATCAAATACCTCCTAAGAAGCCAGGCAATGTTTTCAATACGAAGAGAGTCAAATGCCCCAAGAGGAAGTGAAACTGTGCCGAGATTTGTGATACCAGCTGGACCCTAATACAATTGCAATCAAGGCCAGCAATACATTTAGCCTCAAGCTCAAGCACCCAGGTGTTTCATGCCAGGTACGAAGCCTGAATAAAATACAACATTTTTAAGGATATAGTAAAATCACTTAAACCCCCAGTTCTCTTCCAAATACTGCATCTTCCCAGGACAAAGAAGTCATCCAGAGACGTTGATATGGAACGTCCCAAGAGATGCTGGGTTTGTCATCATCGGCCTCTGGCTGACTGCTCTTTTCCCAGCACCAAGCTGCTTTTAGTGCTTCTACAAAGTAGCCAAAGCGGATGCTAGAGCTCATCACCACCAGCTCGTGTTCCTGGTGCTTTGGCTATGAAAACTGTTATGTGCCAATGAGAGATTATCTGCTGGAACATGATGTGGCCTGCTCCTTACCAGGGCACACAATCATAGGGGGAAAAAAAAAAAGAAGGGGTTGGAAGGGATCTCAGGAGGTCACATCTAGTCCAACCCCCCCGCTCACAGCAGGACCAGCTCCAATTGCATCATCCAAGCCAAGGCTTCGTCTAGCCAGGTCTTAAAAACCTCCAAGGATGGAGATGCCACCACCTCTCTGGGGAGCCTGTTCCAGTGCTTTACTACCCTCCTAGTGAGAGAGCTTTTCCTAATATATGCAACCTCAACTTCCCTTACTGCAGCTTGAGCCCATTGCTCCTTGTCCTGCCATCTGCCCCCACTGAGAACAGCCCAGCTCCATCCTCTTTGCAGCCCCCCTGCAGGGAGGTGAAGGTAGCTATTCAATCCCCCTCGGTCTTCTCTTCTGCAAGCTAAGTAAGCCTAGTTCCCTCAGCCTCTCCTCACCAGTCATGTCCCCCAGCCCCCAAACCATTTTCACTGCCCTCCACTGGGCTCTCTCCAACGTGTCCACATCCTTTCTGTAGTGGGGGCCCACAGCTGGACACAGGACTCCAGATGTGGCCTCCCCAGGGCTGAACAGAGAGGAAGAATCACTGCCCTTCATCTGCTGGCAATGCTCCTACCAATGCAGCCCAGGATGCCGTTGGCCTTCTTGGCACCAAGGGCACACTGCTGGCTCCTATCCAACTTACTGCCCACCGTCACCCCCAGGTCCTTTTCTGCAGAGCTCAAAATGCTCATTTCCATCTGTCCTGACTTACTTTGATAGCAAAGAACAATCCTCTACGACACCCTACACCTAAGGGCGACCCAAACACCGATTACCTAGGCATTTGCCTGGAGCTCTGGGTGAGGGCTTTCCTCATACAAACTTAATCCCATGCCGATTCCAGCTCCTAACACAATACAGTGGCCAAGCTCCAAAGGGAAAAAAAAAAACACTGCCCTGAAAGAAAACCTGAAAAACAAGCTGAGTAAGAACCACCCACGATGATGAGCGCTGACAGCGAGTGCGATTGATGCCCTTCCACTTTGAGGTATTGGTGACATCTACACAATTTAATTGTAGGGCCTGTTTCTAGTAATAGGGTAATGAAAAGCCCACTCATACAAGCCTAGGGTCAAATATGGCTTCAGTGATACAGATTGAAATGTTCTTTTCATTTCTAAGAGATCCTCCAAATTAACCCCTGCAGGGTTGATAAAGATAGGTTAAAATGTGGTTTTGATTTTTATTTTTTTTTTTTAATGTTTTTAGATTTAAAAATATATTTTTCTTTTCAAAAATTAATGTTTACTTTAAACATGAAACTTGTATTCAACTCGGGTATGTCAAGGCCTAAACTCTGAAGACATTGTAATAAGAAGTCAATAATAGGTCAAGACCTACTATTATAGGTCAATAATAGACTTGACCTATTATTGACATCTTATTAAAGACCTGATCCTATGGGGAAACCTATTAAGGGGTATCCTATGGGGAAACCTTGATCCTATTAAGGGCTTGATCCCATGGGAAAAACCACCAGAACATAGCAAATAACTACTGCAAACATAAGATAAAGATGTAAATGCATTGAGCTAGAACATTGTTTAGGTATATAATATTCACACTACTGATTATATACATCACATACATAATTTCTATATAGTTAGTTCAGCTTATAGTACATAGTTGGTGCCCCCCCAGTTGAAAACAAAAATGTACCGAATATATCACATGAAGTTTCTATTGAGCATCACATCTACATGTTTTCACAGTTATACCTAGTGCAAATAAATGCATTTGCACTCCTTTCCCCCACAAAAACAACACTGATTAAACTCAAATCATTAAGTATAAAGCCTCACTTCAAATCATTAATCTCTCTTACAAGAAGTCAATTTACAGAATCCCTCTGAAAGTCGACATGTGATTGATGCATTAATATGCTAGTTATGAGAAAAAAAGGGGAAAAAAAATACTTGCCAGTCTCTTCAAAAAAGTACCCATTTCTGGACATCGCTGCTGGTGGGCTTTCTAGAAAGAGGAGAAAGAATAAAGGTTAAGTTCAAGTGGAAGAAGATCACAGGGATTCTGAGTGCATTTGCTTACTCGATAAGATCATCGTAACTGCAGTATGCAAGAGAGAGCGAGGACAAGAACATTACTACAAATGTGAAGGATTTATTCCATTAGTGACAAATTTAACCTTCTGCTTGTTGCACTTTCCAGGAAATGTTAAAGGTCAATATGGTCACCAGCCCCTGCAAATTCACACACGCACGCACTTCAAATACTGTGTGTTCATTTAATGATTCCAGCCCAAGATGCCACTACTAGAAGTCTCTACAAGCCAAAATGCATCAATGCAACTTGTCAAATCTGAAGGAACACACGTGCAAACATTAATACAAGAGTCTACCAAGGGATGGTCCTATTAAAATGAAAGGCAATAGTGGAATCCAGGGTGTACACGGCAACACAACTACATGCTTTGGTGCATTCATCATCATTCGGGTCTCGGGCAAGGACAGGCAACCTTTTCTGGCTGTGGGACAGAGCGACCCACCCTGGGTCAGAGGCAGATGTACAGGCGGGTGCTAGGATCCAACTGCTGCCACCACTTGTCCCCGTGGCAGCCTGGGAAGACCCCCCGCAGCCAGAGCCCACGGTCTATTGGCCAGATCCAACAGGCCCACAGATCTGGATCTGGCCCATAGGCCAGGGGTTTGCCAACCCCTGGCCTACGGGAACCTTAAAAGGTTGAGTGCATCATCTCTCTTGGTTGCACCTAAACGAACGTCCACCCCACATAAACCTAAAATACTCATCCTTCTTGGTCTGCTTCCTGAACCTAGCCATAGCCGCATTTGTTCCAACAAGGATCCACGGAAGAAAGACGCAATGGAAGAAAGTCATGCTTACATGCAGCGGTCTCCGGGCTCATTGCACCAGGAGTGGGCTCCTGCACAACGCATAAGAACAGGACTGTGGCTGCTCTTCCTCGAGTCCACTCCATGTGACATTTCCCTCTAATACTAAACTGCTGGTAACCTCCCATCAACTTGGGCAGAAGGCAGGACCTCAGCAACTTTGACTGGCTCAGTAGGGCATATGGTTTTGTAGCCACCAAGTCGATGACCTAGCAAGGTGCTGCCTTGCCCTGCCATGTGCCTGGCTTCGGACTAACATGGCTAACTACCTCTTCCATCCATTAAGGGAGGATGCATCTAGCTCCCCACTATTACCTGCCTGTGTGTAAATCCCATCACATGGATTAGGTCTAGTTTTTAAATCCACTACACCGAAACATATTGCAAGTTGCTGGGTTTGCCATTTCAAGGTCGCTCCATGCTAGGGACGGACCCAAGCAGAAGCCTCCTCGTGACGAGGTAATGGAACGGAGATCTTCGAAAACACTTGCCCCTAAACTACCCTTTGCACGACAACGGCACGCTGCTGAGAAAACCCGAAGTTTGCACTTGTTTTTTGAACAATTGATTCCAAGTCAAGAGGCAGAGAAGCAAATTTTTGCAATTCCGAAAGGTGCATGCAATCAGCGCTGGTTTAGTAACGGACCCAGGCACCAGCGATTATTTAGCATAGCCGCAAGACGACCCTCCTTGCTTGGATTCAGCGTATGCATTGACATCAGTTGCAACCATCCTTGGGGCCAGATTTCTGGTGGCAGCAAGTTATGCCTACAAAAACTGTGCACTTAATACTGTTTTATTGCTTAGACTCATTTTGACTTGCACCCTGCACTGAAGTCTCAGATACATTCAACAGTGGCACCTGATAATGCAGGCTGCATTTGTCCTTGAATGAGCACATGGGATTGTGGCTAATTTAATGATACTAAGCTAAAAAGCAGGAGTCAGAAGTTAGCCTGGGACGAAACAAAAACGACGGAATGCTTCATTTAAAATATGCAGAGAGGAACGACAGGCTGGAGGAGCAAGGAGCCTGTTGCCCAAATATGCATTATTTTCTTTCATTGGAAAGGTTGGAAGGGAAGTAGAAGGCCAGAGCTCGCACTTTAGGTCAATGAACTATCAAAGGATAATCTAGATTTAAGGCAGTAGTTCGCAAACTTTTTTTTTTTCGCGGACCACTTGCAAATTGCTGAGGGCCTTGGTAAACTACTTACACTTTTTTTTGTTCTACCAATCAAAGCACACAACTTGTATTTTAATATCAGCAGTCTTACCTTTCTAATGTGATGGTTGTGCCTGCTTTTTTAAGCAAAGTTCTGGGAAGTCACGTGTAATGTTCGTCAGCTTTAGCCTTAGGTCACCTTTCTGCGGACCACCTGAACGGAGCTGGCGGACCAGGGGTGGTCCGCGGACCACAGGTTGAGGACCTCTCCATGAACTAGAGAAGGGATCTGCAACCTATGTCCCACAGGCTGGAATAGCTCCGGCCTGAAAAGCTTAGTGGCCATGGGTGGCATTAGGTGGTGGCAGGCTTTTGCTGCACCCGACTAGCAGGAAGAAATGGTGGCAGCAGTGAGATCCTTGAACTGGCCCATCTTGGTCCACTGCTGGGCCATTCCAGCCCAGCGCCAGAAAACAATGCTGACAACTGAAGTAAAGCAATGGACAGAATCAACTTTTCAGTGGAGGTCACCTAAAAAATACACCTTTAGGAAAGCCTGGAGCACAAAATAGCAAAAGGATTCTCAAATCTGCAGCGAGCCCAAAGTTACCGTATGAAGGACCCTGACCATCTGCAAACTGATGCTTTTAAGGAAGAAAGGATTTTTAGGCTCCGTAAGTTTTTGGGTTGGTTAAAATTAAATCAAAACACACAAGCCAAGGAGTTCTCTTGTTCAAGCTCTTTAGCCTATGCATTGCTCTCCCTGCTTATATTCATTAGACTTCCATTATCAGCCTCCAACAACATGGTTATACTCCCCTGGCACCCAGAACAGATGCATTTCCTTTCATTTTAAATCAAGTGCACGCAAACATGCATATAACCCTGGAAAATGGATTCTCGGAGTCAACTACAGTCCTTACTGAAAGTGCCTCCCCTCTGCAGCAGTTCAGCTTGACCGAGTCCATCGCAACTAAAGTAGGGCCGTGGCCCCAAAGGACTAAAAGTAGGGCCATGGCCCCAAAGGACTAAAAGTAGGGCCATGGCCCCAAAACGTCCTCAAATAGAAGAAACCCAGGGTACTTCAGTCAGCACCAACCTTTCATTAGGTGGCACCATTTCCTCCAAGTCATCATTAACGAGCCCGTGCTTGGGCTTGTTGCCTGGGGGACTATTACGTTGGCAATGCTGGGGTTTTCCCCCCCCTGTCAGATGAGTTATAAAGCAGAGGTCTTAACCTTGTAATTAGAGATTTGACGGCACGTTTTGAAAAAAGTCGGGCGTTCACCCTGATGCATCCTGGCCAACTTCCAATCCTGGCAATGACGTTCTCTGCACGTAAAGGCGTCCTGTGGTTTCAACGGGGTAGCAGCTATTCAAAGAGATTGCTCCATATCCACCACCCAAGCTGAACTTCTTATCGCATATCCCAACATTCGTCATGCACTTTGGAGGCCATGGACCCAGAGGTACTCTGTGCACATCTCTATAAACGAGCCCAATCCCTCATACACTCCCCCCGCCCCCGTGGGACTATCCACGTGCTTCAAGTTAAGAACCAGCATCAAAATGTTTGCAGACCCAGGATCCCATCTTTTCGGTCCATGCTGAAAAGGATCAACACATGTTTTGATGTTCTGCTGTCCAAAATGCACACACCCTGCATCTTGCTATTTGGCCAATTTTGTTCAAGATGCTAAACAACGTACAGGTCTCGGTTTTTCTCCCCCACCCTCCAAACCTATGCGTGGTATTCGTGGAATTGAAAGAGCTGCCAGGAGGACCATTCAGCACAACCGTTGCCATAGTTGGGTTTGTTTAGTCTAGAAAGAGAGAAGACAGACGGGAAACATGGTTCCAGTCTTCAAGTATGTTTAAGATCAACTCTCAGCGAGTACTGAAGGCAGGAAGAGGAGTAATTTAGGGCAACGGAGATTTAGGCTACATGTTATGAAACGCTCGCTGCGATGTGTCGTTAAGGACTGGACCACACTACCAAAGAAGGTTGTGAAAACAGGAGATTTTTTAAGAACAGGCTGGACAAACATCTTTTTGGGATGGCCCAAGTATACAGGGTCCTGCCTTTGAGCAAGGGAACTTGGTTATACGATCTCTTCAAGTCCCCTTCTGGCCCTAGGATTTTCTTCCCGATGCTTCTCAATCAGCTCAGTTCTTCTTTTATGCGCACACGCCCTCGCCACCTGCCTGAACAAGTAAATTAGATGCAAATACACTGCTCACAGATCAAACTATCACGGTAAGAAAGAGAAACAAAACACAACTTTATACATCCTTTTTTGGTAACGTCTTCTCTAAACATCCCTGGCAAGAGACAGAAAAGTAGGGAGAGGTTCAAAATTAAAACAAACTAACCATCCCATTGCAAAATTAAAAGTTAAATATTTATCTGTAAAATTTGCCCTGGCGTTTGGATTTGGTTGCCCTTCTCCCCACTTTCCAATGCCCTATCAGGCAAAGAAGAAGTGCGATACAAGATGTAGCATTTCCCACCACCCTAATAAAACCTCCTTCCCTCCTCTTGGCTTCATTTCCCCCCACAAAACATCTTCTGAACTTTTTTCCACACGCTCCTGCACACAAGGCACATGGATGAGGTATCCGTCTCCCATATCACCACTCTCTCTTCACCAAGACCCATGCCAAAAGTCTGATGACCAAGAGAAGTCTTTGACCAATTCCACTGGGATTTGTCTCTACCCGAAATCACCGATGCCCTCCAAAAAAGCTAAAATAATACTCCCTCGTCTTCACATGCCAATAAGGCCATGTATTTCACTTAGGGTGCATGCACACGCCCTCCCCAAATGGGAGTTTTGCCACCGATTCCACAATATCTTGAGTACAGAACCCAAACATGCACGTACCCAGATGAAACCATCATCTTCTACGATCATGGTCTTCAAGGCCCCATTTCTACT